GAGTCAGTTCGTTATCAGACTTCCGCTGCATAAATGCTCATCCTATATTGGTTGATCTTTGGTTCTGCCCATACTCATTGAAGTATGTAACAGGCCCCCAATACCCCTCCCCCAATATCCCCCCCCCCGCTCCTCCCTGAAAATTTCTCAGCGGATTTTGGCTGTACTCAGCAAGCGCAATACAGCCCCCAACTCAGATTTGAAAAAAAATCAGCGGATGGTCCGATGGTGTTTTTTTTTTTTTTTTTTTTTTTTTTTCCTGACTGGTCGGCAGACCGCTGACCGGTCGGCTCTACTGGTCGGCTGCAATACGGTCAGCTGTCGGGGGGGGCGCTCGGCAGGGATGCAACCCTGGTTTACACCCTTTAAACCCTGCTTATTAGGCCAAGACTCCAAAGGTGGGACCACCAAATCTGAAGATACGGTCGGATTTGGACATATCTCCTTTGGCGCAGAAATGCCCATTATGAGTTTTTGCAAAAGAATAAAAAATATTGCCATGTGAACAAGGAAGACAAGGTCAGGCTGCCCGGACCTGAGCAGGGGGGGCCAGGTAACCCGGGTAACTTGTGCAAGGAATATGAGTGTGAACGATATACAGAAAACCGAGTTGCGAAATCACACAGATCTCCAAGTAGTCTTGTACAAGCAGAGAGCACAATTGCACCGAGAATCCATCCAAATAGAGCAATTCAATGAAGTAATGAGCCAATGTTCAAGCCCTCAGGCCACACCAACACAGTATCCAAAGTTGCTCCTCTCTGTCTGGCGCCCAGCGCCCAGCCTACTCTACTCGACCTACCTACAGCTGTGTTCACGCAACAGGCTCACTTCGACTCTCGAAGACCAATGTACATGATGTCAACACCATAGCCGACCTCTCTTCATGCACCAGGTACGTATCTCGTCACACTCATCAGACCTTGATAACCCACACTCACCTCCTTCCCTGAAGACCACCAGATCGCCCCCTCTTACCCCCTAGCGCACAGCAGCCCAGCTATGGCTGCCAGCGCACTGCTGCCCTGCAGCGGCCCACTTCCAGCGCCCTGGTCTCAGCGGACCAGCGTGACCACGTTGCCTGTGCGGGCCAGAATGCCTGGCCTGGGCTGCCTCACTTCCTATATGGAAGTGGCAGCCTCCTGGATGCTGCGTTTGGCGTGGCTGGAAGCTTCCAGTAGCTTCCAGTTGGGCCTCAGTCCCTTCGCCCAGGCCCGAGACTACAGTTGAGGGCCTGGGCCCTTTACAGTTGGGCACGGCCTGAGTCCCCAGACTTGGGTCGTTTGTTGCATTTGTGCAGAACCCCGGGGTAGGTGCGTTGACAGTACTGTGTTTGCATAGGACGGTGGCTGCTTCATGATGTATCGGCCCTGCTTTGTGTGTATGTGCCCAGGCGCAACTGCCAAGGCCTGGGCCAACTGTATGACGCAGCTTAGTGAGGCTCGCGGGTCCACTCAACCAACTGGTGTGCTGCAAGAGCCTGAATACCCACATATGAAAGTGTCGAATTTTGGCCTCTGATGAATATTCAGGCCCGCCTTCACTTAGGGCGGGCACTCGGCTTGCTGGGGGCCTCTGCCCAGAACATGTGATGTCTGATAGGGGCCCGTGAGGGCTCGTTCCTCGCACTCGGCTCAAACATGAAAATTCTTCAGCTTGCCAGCATAAGAGATTGTTGAGAATTATGTTTTCCAAATGCAATGAAGGGAAAAAAAGAGATGGTCGAGGCCGATTGAAGTTGCCAATTTGCCATGAAATCAATGTAGCGATCATACCTGTTTTTCAGAAGCATCAGCCCGTTTGTGTCATGAATGAATGAAAGGTCTCCAACCACAAGCGTAACCTATCGCAGGCAGGCCCGACAAGACACAAAACAGGATAAAAAAGAGTTGAAATTTGCCGAAGGCCAAGAAGGGGGTAAACACCAGAGGGGTGACGCATTACTTTTTGTCGCCTTATTCCTTGAACGAATGGTCACAAGACTCACAGCGGAATATGCACTGCATGAGCAAGAAGACGCACAGCGTTCCAAAAGTCCATGCGGCTAAACGGTATGCTCATGTAACTATTGATAAACAGGATGATGAACTCAGTTACAGATGGAATCAGGTGGATACAACAACCTTAGGGGCTATCCCCAACAAAAGGGAAAAGTTCAAAAAGATGCACAGCTTTCAGAGGACTTTTTCATTTGAACTCGGGGTTGCACTACTGGCAGTCAGCAGCCCACTGAGTGGTAAGGACCCACAACTCAATGGATTGATCCAACAACTCCCAACATTTGCCCGTCTCTGCAGGGTCAGGATAGGAGCACACAGAGATACACAAATGCAAATTGAACTCAATGCGTGAGGCTTTACATTTCACAGTGGCAGGCACAGAATTCTTCTGTTCTGAGTATTGCTGTGTGTTGAACTGATTTGCTGAGATTTCCGTGTCCTGCTGAGGTTTGCTGTGTCCGCTGGGTGTGCAAGAAAACCGAGCAACGCGAGTGACTGAAAACCAAATTGCATCATCCCAAAGAAAACCAGATAGTCATGTGTCCGAACTGAAAGCAAATTGCACCGTAATGACCCGCCAAAACACAGACTGAGAACACTGCTGATTTCTGAGGTTTGCCGCTGGAATGTATGCCTTGCTGAGATTCAAACGTTCTGCTGAGTTTTTTTTTTTTTTTTGTATGCGTGCTTACCTGTCTCTTATACACATCCAAGTCCTACTGCTTACCTGTCTCTTATACACATCTAGATGTGTATAAGAGACAGCCTCTCTTCCCTCTCAGACCTACCGTCCGGGTCTGCCAGATATTCCTATGTAAGCTAGGAAGAGCTCAATCTACTGTCCCGTGCCTTCTTCCAGTCTCTGTGTGAGGTGTCCTCAGACCCTTTTAGTCGCCCTTGTCGTTCTTTTCATACTCCCTAACCCCTAAACCCTAAACCCTCTGGTGTATGCCTAGAATTTCATCCTTTTAACTCCGGACGCCCTTGTTATCATCGATGTATGGAATAAACCCTTGTAACCCTTTCTCTTCCTTTCTCAAAACTGTATCTTGGAGCCGCTATCTTGCCATCTTGCCATCTACTAGGTACCTCCACCTTTAAACCCTAAACCCTCGTTCCCTACATGTCCTGTTTCACTTCTCCTTTCTCCGAGTGAACCTCTGATCTTTATCCCCTCATATTCAGTCGTACTTTCCGGCCTCGAATAACCTTGCCGCGAACGGTTGTGTCCTTCCTTCCAATGGCTGTTGTCCTCCTGTGATTTTGCAGCCTTAKCTATTGGAGCTCTTCACCTTGCCCCTTCTGGAGAATGTCGACTTGTTCCCTTGGTTAGGATACTCATCCGATGTTTGGCTGTGTCTTCCCTTCTTTCTGGACCGAAGTGACGTTTCCCATGCCCCATTCATCTTCGACCTGTCATCGAGAGTTTATAATCCGTTCCTGTTCGCCATGACCCCTCTTGTGTATRCCTTGTCCCCATCCTCTATTGACCCTTCTTTTTATCTATTCCCTGTGTGTGTTTGGTCTCGTTGGGACCTCCTGCTCATATCCGAATTGKGCCAGTCCTTCCAACAGATCCGGTCGTTACACAATTCAGCCACCTTCCCTTCCAATAACCAGAGCTTGATGAATTTATCCTTGATTTTTTTCTGCTGACTTTCCTCTTCCGGTAGTGACTGCTGTAACTTTCGCCATTCGCAGAGTATTTCAGCTTGCATTAGGGTCCTCGTCTCTGCCCATACCTTTTCTCTTGAGTTGGCCAAGCCCTAAATAGTTCTGCTGCATCTTTCTTTCCATATAATCCACAGCGTTACCTTCCTGATGAGGCCGAACCACAACCTTTCTGTTTTTTTTAGTTGGTCAGGAATGTCAGTCCAGAGTAGAAGCTGAATAGGTAGTTTGGGGAAGGGGATGTTAAAGAGGAAATCCCGTGCCGACGCCCTGGCCCAGTATTGGAAGGGGATGTTAAAGAGGAAATCCCAAAGTGCCGACGCCCTGGCCCAGTATTCTGATGCTTCCTTGCAGTGAATGAGACAGTGAACTAGGTCCTCCTGGATTCCATCAGGGCAGAGTGCGCATAGTTCTGAGCTAGTAGGGTCCTTGTTGTGACGTCGTATGTGGAGCCAGTGATTGACCGGCAATGCAGCGTATGTAATTAGCCACTGGAGGCTTCGGATCGTCACCGGTCTCATGGACTTAAATTTCTTCCACGGGATGTGAGTCAGTTTATCTGCCTCGAGGCCTAGTAATTTCTGCCATCTGGCTTTTATTGTTGGTTCTAAATTTTTTGTTTTGACAAAGAGCTTGTAGACAAATTTGACTGTGTAATTTTGTATGGGTGTGTGTGCTTTAATGTTTTTTTCCTTGTCCGGTCTCCATTCCCATTCCGCCGGATCAAACTCCAAATTCCTCACTGCCATGTCTGGTCTGAAGATTTGTTTGGGCCATGAGCCTATAACTCTCACTTTCCTTAGTAAGAAGAAATCCATTACTGTTGTTTCCACATTTTGGTTTTCGATTGCTGGCCTGCCTCGTTGTGACAGGGTTGTTGGAAAAGGAGGAGAAAACGGCTTTAGTGCTTGAACCCGGTTGCATGTGTGTTCTGTTGAGTTTTCTTAGTTTGTGTGTTTTAGATTTTCCCCACAACAGCCCCAATTCCACCCAGGTGAATAGTCTGTGTGTGTGTGCATGCTTGCTGGTCCGTGTGCCTGTCTGAGTGCACGTCTGCCTGAGTGTGTGTGTGCATGCTTGTGCAATCAGACTCGCTTTCATTCACACTTTTCATGCATGCAAACAGTAGCTCCGAAAACTGGCGACATGCTCCCACACAAAACTCAGAGATATGGAAACCCAGATATGAGTTCACTTTCAATGGCTATGGCGACTCAGCGCCCAAACAACTCTCTGTTCGCATGCACCGGATCACCCTGGATATCCCACACGCGTTACACTACACTCACACACACACACACACACGCTACACACTAACTCTAGCTATGGCGGCTATGGCCGCAACTACCCTATCGCTATGCTACGCTCCTTCTCTCTCGCCCACTTCAGCTCCGGGCTCACTGCAGACCTCCTTGCACAAGTCGCTGTGGCAGCGCTTCCGCATGGCTCACGCAGGAATGAATGAATGGCTGGGCACTGCCTCTTGATTTATACTTCTGAAGCTCGTTGGTCTGCCCCTTTCCTTCGGCCCATGGTGCACACAGTCCCTCATGGTACTTGCTGAACTGGACTGGGACTGACTGGACTGCACCGCTGACTGCACCGCTGACTGCTTGGGGACTCACTGCTAACCTACCGAGGTCGTACTGCAATCGTGCTGAAGTTAGTCCACCACTTGGCTCACCACTTGCCCACTTGCCCACTTGCCGACCTTCTAGAAGACTACAGCAAAGACTTCTAGACTTCACTAAGACTTCTGTTCGACAGACCTACAGATCGAACCCCTACAACCTATGGACTTATGACAGCCTACCAGTTGCTTACGAATACACAGGTCATTAGTTCAACTCTCGGGGTCTACACAGGTACTGTACACGGTAGGGTAAGGACTAGGGATCGAGCCCTGGGATCTGCATCTGCTACTGCAAAGGTGAAAACCGTTTCACTCCCGCCGTCCTAAATTCGAGGTCCTCCGAGAATATTTCAGTCCAAGGCAGGACCTTTACCCTTCTTAGCACGCTCATAGGCTCTAACTATGTTGGGAGTGTTTCTATAAGTTCTGTTCTCGTAAACCAGCGGTCGTCTTCCGGTTCTTGATAAGCAAACCGGACCTTATACTGTTTCTGTGGACGACCTCTACCTCCTATCCTAAACGCATCTTCGTCTACAATGCCGTCAATGTCATATCTACCATCCATATCCGGAGGGATCATGGATCTTCTGGAAGAGAACTGTGGAGTTGTGAACATGGCAACAACTTTGAAGCATGGAACACCGAGTAGGTGTGGAGGTGCACTGGAATCTCTATAGTGTAGGACAGTCCATCCTCTCCGCCCTTGACTTCTAGAACCACCCACGGTCCTCTATATGCAGGCAGTAACTTCTGCGAGATGTTCTCCTCAGGTGCAAACTCTTTGCACTTGACCCAGACTATGTCGCCTACTTGAAATTGAGACGGGCGACGGTGCTTGTTTGCCTGTTCTATCATTCGATGCTGGGCTTTCCTGAGGTTTTCAACAACTGTAGCTAGCTCTCTCTTGTGCTGTATCACACCCTTTGTTGTGACCACAGACGCCAGCCGATATGGCATAGGTGCGGTCCTTGCATAGGAGGGAAAAAGGTTGAGGCCGATAGAGTACATGAGCAAAAAGACGTCGGCTGATAGAGTACATGAGCAAAAAGACATCGGCTGATAGAGTACATGAGCAAAAAGACGCCATCTCAAAAAACAAAGTTGAGGCCGATAGAGTACATGAGAAAAAAGACGTCATCTCAAAAAAAAGGTTGAGGCCGATAGAGTACATGAGCAAAAATACGCCATCTTAAAAATTAGTTAAGTCTACATATGAGCGTGAACTCTATGCCCTGTATAGAGCACCGGTCCATTAGAGGCACTACCTCCTAGGCAAATTCTTTTATGTGAGATGTAACCATGCGATGCTGCGCTGGATTAAGACCCAACCCGTACTCTCCAATGCACTCAAGAGATGGATTGAAGTCATAGACATGTATGACTTCAAGCTCGACCCTCGACCCTCTAAAAGGAGAGTACAACAAAGTGGCTGATACACTATCGCGAAGGGCAGACCATCTGGGCGTGCTAGTGATCGAGTTTGAAATTTCTGACGATGTAACTCGATCCATGGTGGAAGCCTATCGAGAGGACGCAGTC